CATCAGTAAAATGACTGTGTCGTGGATTGACCTTAACCTTGAGCTCTTATCATATACTACAGCCATTTCCTCCTTCCCACTTCCCCCACCGCATCTTTAAATTGAGTTTATGTTTTTAAATGAAGAATCTTAGCCAGGGGCTTAGTAGGTAAATGCACTGGGACCTTGATTTGATTTGATCTGAAATCATTAAGGCCTTGCTACAAATAAATTGAATACAGAGGACAAAAAATTGAGTAGAAGAGTTAAGTCAAAGATTTCCTTTCAATCAATCTCAACATCATAGCAGATTCTTACTTAAAAAAGGGTCTTCATGAGTTGGTAAATTAATGTTTATGGCTGCTTATATACATTAAAAGGGTCTCATTCTACAAAGGAATTAATATGGGTATGACAGCATAACTGATTAGATATAGTGACAAAAAATTTCAGGACTGCTTGGAGAAACTTCTTGTTAAGTGTTTCCTTAGTGTTTCTCTGCCTAATAAATCAAGAAAAAAACAATTCTTAGATTCTGAATATCCAATTCAACCTGTAAAGGCAGAACCTTCTAAATGTCCTGAGCCCTGCTAAAAATCAGTGGGTTCCATCAGACTCAGTCTTCAAGGTTTCAATTGCAGGATGAAGGAGCTTATCTTTTCAGATGGGCTGTAGCTACAGCCTGAAACTCCATCTACTATTAACTGCTGTTATCTATGATCTAACTGTATTTCTCGCACTCATTAAATAATCAGTGCCTGCTTTAGAAAGATCACTTTCAAAACTCTTTAACAATTTACAGAAAGAAACATAAATGCTCTTTTAGGATGTAGGAAACATTTTAGCTTCAATCTATTTATGATGAGGCAAACCCTGGAATTTTTTTTTTATATTGAGACTCTTGCTAGAGAAGCAATTTTAGGTAGCTGCTATGCAACTCCATTATTCTTCTAAAGCCTAACAACTCTGAGGAAGTAGTAAATATCTGAAGTCAAATCGTAAAGTGTTTTATTGAAATTTTGTCTCTAAAAATAGGCCAGTTCATTGAATCTGAACTACTGAAAGTAGAAAGGCAGGTTCTGAAAACAGAATTCCAGTTTTGGTCTCACTACGAGACTAGGATCTCCATTCAGACAGCATTCTCCCAACCTCCCGTGTAAAAAAGTTTTCCTTCCACCTGCTGTTTCCCTTTAGCTGACTAAGGAAACTACAGTTAGCTCTATAGAAACAAGACAACAGTTGTCTTGCAGCAGGTGTGAGTGCTAAGATATTTGCCATGTTACAAGAAAGCATACATACTTTGCTGCTTTTGCTAGTGCAGCATATTCTCACTGTGAAGGGTTCTGTCAGCAGAAAATAATAATGGGCATGCCAAACTGGCATTTTATTGGCAGCTGCATATCAGCTGAGGGCTTGTGTTATTTGGAGAGCTGCTTTTATTCAGAAGTTTCACTGATTTGCATCAAATCTGTATGCAGTCACAGACAAACTTGTGGTGACAAAGGTAACTTCTGTGGGCAAAATGTTGCAGTGTAGACCAGGCCTTAACAACTCCAATATCAGCTGAGGAGAATCCTCAGGGAGGAATAAACAACTGTCAATAAGCAACATCACATGTATAGATTTAAAAAGTATCAACATTTTATGCATTGGAGTTTAAATAAAATCTGTTTTCTAAAGGAAAACAACACCCCAATTTTCTGTGTAAATGAAAAACTGCATAGATAAAATTAACACTTATTTTATTATAGTTTTACATGTTATGACCTTTAGCAGCTCCAAGCTGTTGGAACTGCAGTCACTAACTTCCTTTTCACACTAGCATGTCTTTATGAAGTAGGCTGACAACATGGATTAGTACTAAAAAAGAAAGCTTGTCCAAGGAGCTAGAAAAGGCAACTTGTATTCAGTGTTTTGTTATACTCTTTTTACATCACTCTTACTTTGTGCACTATGGAATATAAATGTTTATATTAATAAGCCATTTTGTGTCCCGCGGGATGTAAAGTAAGACTATACATGAAGTTTAAGAAACTGTATGATAGAGCATAAAAGCTGGTTGACTTCCTTTCAGTCTGGTTTTCCACTCCCATACTGTCTCTAGGCCAACAATCATAACACCAGCACAGGGATTCATGATATCAATGCCTAGAGAGGAAAAGCAGAACTCCATACTTGAATGCTGGATGAAAAACGGATATTTGAAAGAAAGCATTTTGTTTCAAAACACATATTTTTCTTGGAAATTGTTCATGTGCATACAAAGACATGGATTCAACAGTTTCTCCCTTCTAACAGCTTTGCAAGTCACCCTTCAGATCAATGCAACCTCCTGTATAGAGATACAAACTGATGACTGATTATTACTTATTCAAAAGTGCTACCAGATGAAGACAAAAGGTAAGACTGTAGGACTGTTTAGAAGTAAACCAGAGAGCCCCTATTTCCATTTTGGATAAAACTGTGTATTTTTCAAGCACCACTTTGTACATGAATATCTCAAAACACTGTATAAACATCTTCTCACAACTAAAATATTAGTATATGCAATTCCAACATAAACTCCAAATAATTTACATTTTCATTTCATGTAAAACTGTCATTAAGTTTTGCGGTGTTTGGGGGGGGTTTTCTTCAAGAATGTTTTAGCTTTTCCTAGTCTTCCCATATAATTGGTGTCTAATGAGGGCTGAAGGAAACAAAAATAAAGCACTTTTAGCCAATTGTAAAAAACTGAAAAACATCAATTCTTCAGTTTCCAAAGTTGGGATTTTGTCTCTCTCTCTGTGTCTCTCAAAAACAAAAAAGAATTATTGAAAAGCATTTTTATGAAAAAAATGTTTGGTCTAAATCCATTTTTCATAGGGAAAATCATGTTTCAATTATTTTTTTTTAGCCTGTCCTGTTGACAACATCCCTGTTGTAAGCTGTTTAGCATCCCTGTTGTAAGCTAAATCAGGATTTTTACCCCCACTTCATACCTGGGGAAAATAAAGTAATGAGAAATAAAGTGATCTGGACACACCAGACATCTATGGCAGAGCCCTGCAAGTTTCTAGTAGTCTTGACTCCCAGGCTTGATTCTAATTTCACTTTCACTGGTATGTTTCAGTACCAAATCATAGACTTCAGTAGAGTTACTCCTAGTTTACATATACGTAAGTAAGATAATGATCAGGATTTGCTAACTGAAGAAGCAAAGTTATCTGCCATACCAGCTGGATCACTAATACAGCCTCCAAACACCACCAGCTAGGTCAAATACGAGAGGTGAGAGTCTGAGCTGTACCTCTGAGACAAACAGGACAAAATTCACAGCCCTGAGGATGAGAGCTAAGACATCCTGGTACCAAGCGAAACCTGAACTGATTTGAGAGTAGGGGAAGTGTCTAAATTCCAGTGGCCTGTCCCTGCATGCCTATGGTAATAGTGCTGCCCAGAAAATGTTGGAAGTGCTACATGCTGTGGCCCCACCCCAAAGAGAGGGCTTGTGAGGGAGGGTCCTGAAGAAGAGTCTGCAACTGTTTTCCTTAGCCCGTACAGCTGTCTCTTTCTGTTCCTGTGCCAGGACAATTCTTCCCCATCCAGCTGGACCCTTGACCTCTAAGTACCCCTTTATACAGCTTTATCCATTTTATCCAGTGCACAGAAGGCAAAGAAGAGGTGATAATCTCACCTAAAATGTTTGAGATTAAAGTAGCAACAACAACATTAATACTAGCAAATCTAGACCAGCACTTACCAGGCTTTAAGATCTAGCTGATCGCATAAAAAAAAATAGTGTTTCATCCCATTTAATCTTAAATAAATGTAACAACAATGGATTCTAATTTGTTAACCCATCTAACACCTGACTAGAGCCCACTTTACAGTCTGAGAAACACTAACCAAGGTAAAGTTTTGCCTTATTTAAAGTACTTTTCTGAAGCAAAGAAAGAATTCTTGGCATATGACACAGTATTGCCAACCACCAGGATTCAAAAATCATGAACTGCAATGAACTGCAAGATTGGTTTGGAATCATGAAACTGTAAAAAATTTGGTACACTCTTCCTTTCTGGTTTCTGGTCTTGGTGAAGATACTCAAGTCACATTTTCAAATCTTCCTTAGCAAACCATGAAGGCTAGAGAGTTATTCAAAAATATTAACGTTGAGATTCTTGTTTAAGTATTTGACTCCAGAAATGAGGGCTTTAAGAAAACCACCAAAAATTATCGGCCTTGCAACAAAACTGCAAGGATTGGCAACACGAAAGTGTGTCAAATAATGTTGGCTCTTTTATTTTAAAATTGTTGATAATACAGCTTTCTTCTTGGAAAAGGCTGTAAACAAAGGTTTTAATCGTTTTTCTCCATCTCCATCATAATGAAGTTCACTCACCCTCTGTTAAGTCTTCTTTCCAAACTGACCTGAATTTCTGCTGATTTTCTCCTCTGCAATTCCTCTCAAACTTTTAATTATTTGTTGTGCATCTGTGTATTTTTTTCCAAACATACTTGTTTCAAGAAAGCGACAGTAGTATCTAAAGAAAACACTCCAACTAAATAAAATAATTTTTTTCTGGTATTTTTTGTATTTCTCTCCTGAATATACCTAAATCCCACCCCACTTCTGCTGTAATCATTAAAATTATCATTGAGAGACAAGAATCATTATCCAGTTCTGTTTATTTGATGATTAGCCTCAGTCACCAGTTTTTGAATGAGAAAAATAATATTGCAATCAAACTTTTTCTTACCTTGTAACATTACAAGTAACAGATACATTCTCTCCGTCTTCCATTTGTCTGTCAGTTCCAGTGAACTGAACTTGGACCTAATTATAATAAATCTGTATTCAGTATGGTTAAGGAAGGAGGTTATCTCAAACCATTTATCAGAAAAGTGGCATTTTAGCTTTTATAACCACTTGCAAATTCTGGTAAGACTTGCTTATTTAAGAGTTGTAGTAAGAGAATAAAATTTAGGGAAATGGGTCCCCCTGGTGCTTTGCCTCAACAGTTATACAAATAAATGTTGTAAACAAGTCAAGATTTGTTACTTGTGATTATTCTGAAACATTGTTGAATGTGCTTTACACATAAATAGGGACCTACTGAGATCCAGCATTGCCCACAAAATCAGGCAATGTCTGCAAAACCCGCAAAAAAAAAAAGAAAAAGAAAACTTGCTGAAAATAAAATGCTGGCTCCCCAGAGGGAACCAGCAGTCCTCACAGCACAGCAGCACAGCCAAACAACCCCCTAGTCCCACCTACATGAGGGGGAGCCAAAGATGCCTGCTGCCCCCACCCCCTTCTTGCCGTTGATTGGCTGAGGGCTGCCTGTCATGCAGCCCCTGCCCCTCTCCACAAATCAGCAAGGGGTGGGGCCATATGATGGACAGCCTTCACAGTCAAACAACAGAAAGGGGCAGGGCCCATCAACCAATCAGAAGTGGGCGCCACAACTAGCCCATGAAAGTGGCAGGTGCCCTTGCGATTTCCCCACACAATCAGTCGGCCACCTTCTCAAGTTGGGTTGACCCCTGCACGTAACCAAACAAACAACACTCTTGTCCCTTAAGGATCTGGCCACATCCAGACAAAGGGTGGGTGAAATGAAATGCAGCAATAGTACATGACTGAACAAGGAGCTATTTTCTGTGCACTCCTTGCAATGTTACTTGTTTGTTTGGGGGAGGGGGGTTATTAGAAGTGGATGGACTGATTTATAAAGGCCTTTGAGCAGCTCGGCAGTGCTATGTGCTCGGCAGTGCTATGTTGGCTAGCACTATGGAAGAAAGAGACTTGGGGGTCATCATTCACCACAAGATGAACATGAGCCTGCAATGCGATGCTGCGGCTAGTAAAGCAACCAAAACGCTGACTTGCATCCATAGATGCTTCTCACACAAATCCCGGGACGTCATTCTCCCCTTGTACTCGGCCTTGGTGAGGCTGCAGCTGGAGTACTGCGTCCAGTTTTGGGCTCCACAATTCCAAAAGGATGTGGAGAAGCTTGAGAGAGTCCAGAGAAGAGCCACGCGCATCATCAGAGGTCAGGGAAGCAGACCCTACGATGACAGGCTGAGAGCCCTGGGGCTCTTTAGCCTGGAAAAGCTCAGGCTCAGGGGTGATCTGATGGCCACCTACAAGTTTATCAGGGGTGACCACCAGGATCTGGGGGAACGTTTGTTCACCAGAGCACCCCAAGGGATGACGACTAGGTCGAATGGTCATAAACTACTACAAGACCGTTTCAGGCTGGACATAAGGAAGAATTTCTTTACTGTCCGAGTCCCCAAGGTCTGGAACAGCCTGCCGCCGGAGGTGGTTCAAGCGCCTACATTGAACACCTTCAAGAGCAAACTGGATGCTTATCTTGCTGGGATCCTGTGACCCCAGGTGACTTCCTGCCTTTTGGGCAGGGGGCTGGACTCGATGATCTTCCGAGGTCCCTTCCAGCCCTAATGTCTATGAAATCTATGAAATTGAGAATAAATTTGTTTTATTAAGCAATGTGTAAGTAAAGAGACTCTGAAGGTGATGGACTTTCATACCATGACAATATTCTATTCTAATGCCTTATTTGTACTAAGTCTTTCTTATTTTTATTATATGGAACAGATGATAATAGACACGTATGTGATAATTGTGGCTGATCTGATCTTACAGAGAACACAGCAATGCACAGGAAGTGATCATCAACTTACACCATAAATTTGCACCATTTTTATGCATATTCATAAAAGTACATTATTTTTAACTGGTTGTTCATTCGTAAGTTATCTACTTTCAGCCCAAGAAACCTTTTTTTTCCCTTGTTTTTTAATACCATTGATTCTAACTTAAAAATTGCTTCTAAAAACAGCTCTGTAACAGGTTGAAAGAGCTGTATTTACTTAAATAGTAGTGGACCTTTGAATGTTAAAAAAAATTAAGTTTAATGAAGGAACATAACACTTTTCTCCAATTCAAAAATAGATTTTCAGTATTAAACTAAGCCAGGTGACAGCTACTCATTCTACTAAAAGCTTTTTTTCCTATTAAATAAGGCATTGTTAAAAAGGTGAACTTTTGCCTTGGTGACCTTTTTTGCTATTACTTTAAAAAGAAAGTGGTTGGATATTCCAGTCTCAATAGCCTTGAGACTCCCCTTTGACTTCAGATCAAAGCCATCAAACCACAGTTTCAAAGGAATGAGTTAGAAGAGAGAAATATAGAGAAGAAAACTTCAGATAACAGAAAATTCCTGATACACCAGAGATACTCCCTTCTGCAACATTTAACAAGAAAACTTTTGTCCTTGAATTTGTAAAGATAAGCTCTAATGGCCATTTGAAATGTATTTAAATATCACTGGAGCAAACAACTCTATCACTTTGCAGAGAAGTATGTGTGGCAGCTCCTGAAATCGATTAAATGATGAAGTAAAACTAAAATTTGAAAAAAAGGATGATTTGCACCACCATCTCTCAGCATTATGATCAGTTATCCTTCATAGAAATGAAAAAATAAATAAGAAGCAAGGCATTACTTTTCCTTTGAGGCATATAAAACTGACATGTGACCTGTTTATGGGATTTCCAGACATGTTAAAGAGGAAAGATAATGCTGTAAAGTGGCTAAATAATCAAAAGAACCACTTTTGCAGGAGTTAGAAATTGTAACCCTACTAGAAAAAGTAGGATGGAGGCACTAGACTAGTGGTTATTAAACTTTCTGACTTTGTCTAAAGTTTTCCAAATTAATGTCCCCACCTCAGATACATAAAAGCATAACTAAAAATGCACTGCTTTGTCTTCCATCACAGCAGTTTTTCTATATGCAAACTGGGCTCCAGACTGGATTTTTCCCCCCAAAGTTTGCTAATGCTTTTTAACTGGAATTATCCCCTGAGAAAAAAAAACAGGAGATTTTGTTTTATTTCAGTTTTGACATTTGGGTCAATCTAGTGTCTACCAACTGGAAAAAAATCTTCAGAACTATGATGTGGGAATAAAAGTGTACCCTGCCAAGGCTGGTTTAGCAGCAGCCAGACACTTAGGGAGGCTCCAAAGGGGCAAAGGAATTCCACATGACTTTGATTCAACTTTGGAAAGGTTCTTGCATTGCAGATTCACCGCAGTTTGAGAACTGCTACATTGCCCACCAGACAGAAGGGGTTTCCATCAACTGCTAAGGGTCTTATCCAAGGTTTCCAAGTTATGTCACTCCCATCAGGAAACTCTGTGGCCCCTGGAGAGACAAATTCCCAACATAGGATGACAACTATGGTTTTGGGAGGGAGCAGTTATTTTAATAGGTTGTCAGGGGTGGGCAATTATTTCAGGCGAAGGACCGCTTATTGAGTTTTGGCAAGCCATCGAGGACTGCATGATAGGTAGCCCAGGGCAGATAAAAATTTAGAAAATTAATATTTTCAGGGCCCCATGGGCCAGACAGAATGGCCTGGCGGGCTGCATCCAGCCCCTGGGCTGCATTTTGCCCACCCCTGGGTTATTTAGACAGAGCGTAACAGGGTGTTGGATTAGTGAAGCATTCGCTAAAATGGAGAGGAGGAAGTCAGAACATTCACTGGGACCCTACAGTGTGGCAAAAGGCAACTGTTTAACAGAGGCCAGAGCCAGCCAGGTGCTCAGTGCAGGTCCTCAATCCTACACAGAAAAGTGTTATCAGCAAAGCTCCAGATGCCAGTGCTCCCAGGCCCAAAGCCTTCCTTTCTGCCAGCCAAGTAGAATCAACACTGCGGAATGGAAAGGGGATTCTGCTGACATCAGAAAACAAGCATAGACCTGACTCCACCTCCTGTCAGCTGCAGCAGCCCAATTGGCAGCAGGTGCCTTTCCAAGATGCACTTCAGGCTGTGGCAGCAGAGCTATATAGAAGCCCCCCTGCCCCCAAAAGGGTACAGAGAGGCTTGCGCAGTGGCTGCTGCCTGCCACCAGAAGGGCTGGGGGAAGAGGCTGGTAACGGCCGGTAACACAGAAGCAGGGCTGGGAGGGACCTCCAGAAGTCACCTAGGCCAACCCATGGGCCGCGACCCAAAAGTGGGTCTCAAGAATATATTAAAGGGTGGCAAACAAACTTTAAAAATGGTTTCTCCTTTCAAAGAGAAAAACGGTGGCTTTTCCCTTGCAGGCTGGCAGAGCTCCAGCCTGCGTGGGGCTGCTTGGAGCCCCCCCTAGCCCACACACTGGGGGCAGAGGGCAGCAGGTCGGGAGTAAGGGGCACTAGGTTGGGACCGGGCATCCACGTTTACAAATGGGTCCTGGTACACAAAAGGTTGAGAACCACAGACCACCCCGCTGCCAGAGGCACCATCGCCCCTCTCTAAAGAAGGGCAATGGGGCAGCAGCCCAGAGTTGCATAAAAAGAGAAACCAAAGTCACCCCCCTCGTCCCCGCCGGCTCTCTTGCCGCTGCTGCCTCCGCACGGAGAGGGGGCACGGGGCGTGCAAGACGGGGGCCCAGGGCCTCGCCGGCTCAGTGCAGGGACGGGAAGCTGCTACCCGACCTCTGCGCCTTTCCCCTCCCTGCTTGGATCCAGCCCGTCAGGCACGGACGCTGCGTTGCACCGCAGGGAGCTGCGTCCCGGCTCAGGCAGGGTCCAGGTACCTCGGGCGCTAGCGGTGCAGCCGCCGCGGCTCAGGGCAGCAGCGCCGCGTTGCTAGTCACGTCTATGAGCCGGGAGGCGGCGGAGCCCGCCCGCCAGGACCCGCCGCTGCCGCTACTGCTAACGCGGCTCATACCCGCCGCGTTCATCTGCCCCTGCGCCGCGCGCCGCCAACGCCGGCCCTGCCGGGGTCCCCATGGCAACGCGTACACACTGCAGGGACAGAAAGCCTGCGTCGCAAATCTCGCGAGAAGCCTACAAGTCTCGGCTTGCCTTGGCCGAGGTATGAGGCCGAAGGGAAACTGCATTCCAGGCTCCCCTCCTCCTCCCCGCCCCGCGCGGCCTCAAGTGGTTGAGGCCGAAAAGAGAGCGCATTCCAGGCTCCCCCCCCGCACGATCTCACAGGTGGTTGAAGCCGACGAGAAAGCGCGTTGTACTCCCCGCCGCGTCCTCCCTGCCCCTTGCCGGAGACTTGGCCCCTTCTGGAGCCGCAATGGGCGCTGCCCCTGCAGCGTGATAATCCCTGGGAAGCTGAGTTTTACCTTAAACGTGGGCCACGAGTGCATCATTTAAAAAAGAGGGTGGAGGAGGAAGACCCCCCCCCCCCCCCACACACACAGCCAGCTCCCCAAAACCAGCACAGCTTCAAAGGCCAATACACGCAGTGATCCAAACCTAGCAACACCCAATAGCCCCAGCCGCAGCGTCCCAGAGCTCCCCCGGCTGTCACCACCAAGCAGCGACATCCTAACTGGGCTTGCCTGCCCTTACGCAAAGCCTAGCACCCTTCCGTGCAAGACCTGTGGAACTTGGATAGATGGAAGCGAGCCGGCGTGGTCAGCTTTTGGGTCCCCACTAGGAAAACTCCCGGCTCAGGGCCTAATTTTATAAAGCAGAGTTTATTCCCATCAGCACTGAGAGGGGAAAATAAATATGACTGGGGTAGCAAGAATCACCTTTATATCACCAGCATGTATTTCACCATGAGTCGAGTCTGCCTAGAAAATACAGGGCCAAGGCTGTCAGGAAAAAATTAAATACGAACAAATATGAAATATGAACGCTGCTCCCATACAAATATGCTTTCTCCTGCGCTGGCAAGACTAGCAGCAGTATCAGTGTTCTAGAGCCAGCAAAAGCAAACCCTGTTTGATGCTGTTTGATGAGTCCAGAGTTTACCGAGATCAATATGTAGCAGCACCAGTGTGAAAAGGACTATGCATAACAAAGGTTTGAGATCAGTTGCTATTGCAGACACACTCAAAATACAAATACACTTTATACTTCTGATCTTTGCCATCAAAACATTCAATAGCCAGGATGAAAAAGTGAACAGTTCTGTTGGCAGGGTATATAATATGAGTGGAGCTAGCTTACAACTTTTTATCTGCAAAGGTAAATTTGATAACTGGCTTCCTCTAATGCCACAACAAGTTACCTTGCTTAGAGGCCAGTCCAGTTGCCATTTAAATGAGAGAAAAAAAGACTACTGACTTCAGTAAGAATTGGATTCAGATTTCAGAGATTTGCTCTGCAGAACTGAACACAAAACATGACCAGTGATCCCGGTTTTCTGATTAAAAAAAAATCCCCAATTTTTTAATTAAAAAAAGTAACTAAAATCCACATTTTTCCATGATCAAAATGAAACACCACTAATATATATATATATATATGAAAATTGGGGATTTTTTTTTTTATCAGAGGAAACTGGGATCCCTGGTTATAGTGTATGCAGGGAAGTTTGCCTTACTACAAGTAAATTTCAGGTTAGACTTGCAGACTACATTGTGGTCCCAACAGAGTTCAGGCTGCTTTGATAATTCAAGATAGATGCCACCCAAAGAAAGTGACATGGGAACAAGACTCTTCCAGTAGAGATGTTTTCTTCTATATCTTTAAGGTGTTGGAAATGTACAGTCCTTATCAACTCTTGTTTTCACTTTGCTTCTGTGGCTTCCAGGGCCTGGGAAAGAGGTGCAATACAAGGCTGCCTCCCTTCATCACTTTTCTTCAGATGAAGATAAGAATCAGGGCCAACAGTGCCTCAAGTCATTGTTTAGTGAGCAGAATATCTCTAGCTCTCTGAGCTAGTCTCCATTAGTTGAACTCTGTGGAAATGCAGGTAGATGGTTTTCCATACCACCTCTTCTTACCAAGTAGACTTTATTTACTTCTTCTACAGTTACATTGCCTTCATATGCTGATCCTCCCACTGCGCCACTGCTTTGCTGTGGACTTAGAGAAAAACGGAGGAACTACTAATGAATTTGAGCTGTTTACTTCCTTGGTTGTGGCACAGGTATCTTTACACCTCTCCAGAATCCAACTTCTGCTTTAAAATAGCTCTTATGGCTCTGTAGCTAAGCACAGCTCCTATAGTGAGGCACATGCAGCAGAGTCCTACAAAAAACAGAATTAGGATAGAAAATTGTGATTGTATACCCTAGAAAAATGAACTCTCTTCTGATTCCAACAGTATTCTAGGTAGTCCCAAAAGGCAAAATAACGCTACAGGGCAGGAACACTGAAGTGCTACCTTCTTTTACGCAGAAACCGTGACCTTAATTTTAATAATATAAAATAAAATAGGAAGTCCTGCTACAAAATCCAAGTTGATTTATAGTCATATCTGGAAGCCACATAAGAGTCTAGCATGCATGCACGCATGCGTGCACAGAGTTTAAACTAATCTGAACATTAAAAGACAACCTACAGGGAAAAAAAGAAATGATATTGTCCTCCAGAGGCATGGATACTGAATGAAGACTACAGCCTGATGTGCTTTTATCAAAACAAGTCTGCCTGTCATTGATTCAATACCATTAGCAATAGCACTGTTTTAGCATGGTGGAACCCAGATCATTCATACCCAAATGCTTCACAACTCACTTAAATTCACCAGTCCACTGCGAGCAAGACAGAGGTAGGCAACTGTTTGCTGCAAGCTCACAAATGTTCATCTTTGCAGGAGGGATAGGCAGAGCCAACCTTAGGGGTGTGGGGGGCCCAGGGCATATCAGCC